AATGTATTCACGTATTCAGGTTTACGAAAGTAACTGTAATCAGATTACTCGTTTTTCAAATGTAACGCCAGCTGAATACAGTTAGCCTACTTGATTTTTGTATTCTGATTACGTAACGCCGTTACATGTATTCCGTTACAACCCAACCCTGTTCCTAGGCTACTGTCCCGCAGCTCCTGCCTCTCTGTTGGACTTTGCATCGAATATTTCCAAAATTCCCCAGCTTAACTTCCCATGGAAACTTTCCGCCCCTTTGCAACCCTAATTCTAATCCACTACAGTTCAGAGGTAAATTGTGTACTTTTCCTCCACTGCATGTATTTAATACCTTTAGTTAATTCACAGATGTGGATGAATGATGTGAAATATAATCAAGTGTTAAATCAGACTTTAGTTCCACCTGGAGTAAATCCACAAGCTACCCTGCAGTATACAAAGTCATTCAAACTAGCTGCACCTTTACCAGCTTTGAGAACACTTTAATCAATCATTATAAAACATATCGTATATATTATTCTGAAATGGACCAATCTGCATAATTGACTTTAAGTATATTTTGACGCTAGTTCTTTGATTGCAGGACTTTTACTTATCGACTATTTTTACACTCTGGTATTGCTACTTTTATTTAAGAAAAATATCTTAATACTTCTTCCACCTCTGGAATTGGGGCATTCAACAGAAAAATGAAAACTGACTTACAAAAACCTTGTATTTCTGCTCTTAAATGAGGATTTTGGTGGAACTAACAGGGTGCATGGAAAGCGGCAGTGGGAAAACGTAATCCCCAGCATGCTGGAGGGCCACTTAATGTCCCATTAAGAGCATCAGATGAGGGGCCATCACATGCACAGGCTGGCAGTGGCAGTGAGGAGCTCATTATAGCAGAATCAACTTAATGGTGACTTACGAGTTGTACCAGTTGAAGGTGAGCCAGTTGAGGCCTTCCAGCTGGTACTCCCTGAGTTCGTTGCTGTTCCTGTAATCCATGGAGCCCTCCAGCTTCTTCCATTCGGCTGCAGGGGGCCGTTCCTAGACGCACAAACATTAATTACTACACAACATCGAGGCTCATCTATCTTCATCAAATATTTGGTGTGAGGATGGGACTTGTTGGAAAACTGAAGCTGGGATAAATTGGATTTCAAGGATCCAAGGGTAATTTGTGATTGTAAAACACGGGGTGGTGCAATAAACCGCAGTTCAAGTGTCATTCAGCTACAGAATAATACATATTTACTGTGGTACACTGGAGGTTTTGAGCGCTTTGATATGCACCTGGTGTATGAGAAGAGCTATACAAATAAAGATTTTTTATTATTATTATTATGATTATGATTTGATGTTTTTGCAGAAAAGACGGATGCATTAGGTAGCTTTCTATTACAACCCAAAGTGCATGGCAGCACACAGTAAGCAGGGAAAAGAAGGCTCAGAATAGAGAAACGTCCTCCCACATGTTGCTCCATATGAAAAATAGATTAACATGCGGTTTAGTCTTCGAGGAATCTCTCCATGCACTCAAGTTGTTTTTAACCGGCAAAGTCAGAGGCAGGAGAAAGATAAATGTCTGTCTTTTTTTAATAGTTAGGGAGATGTTACCTGGGACAGTTTGCCAACAATAAAAACCTAAACGGTGCCTCTGTGGAGCCGCTCCAACAGGGCACTCAACCCCTTAAGCCCTGACTGAGCCTGTTTTTCAGGTCTCAGGCTCGAAAATGACATTCCCAGAACAAATTACTATATCTTCACTTCTTAAAAGGGTTAAATTAATCATCTTTTTTCTCAAAGCAAGGTTACATCTGTGAGTTGGATGTAGAGGAGTCAGAATCAATATAGATGTTTTTATTTTAAAGTCAATTCAGATTGAACATAGTAAAACTTTTTTTAATTATTGTGTCCGTCCAAAAAAAAAAAACATGACTTATAGTGAAAACCACCCTTGAATGATGGGATAGGAGACTAAACGTTTTAGGAATCCAAACTATAACATATAATAAGTACCCTGTATCAAGATTTATGCAAAACAAGTGACATTTGACCTTTATAGATAGATTTAGCAACAAAAAAAACACTTCTGGGGTCATTTGTGTGGATTTGACCTATCTCTGGCCCCCCTCGTTCGATTTTGATGATTGATATCTCTTTTGAAGCGTTAGAGCCAAAAGAATTGAGAGGGAAGTTCCTAAATCCATATAAACATTACCCATTGGTGAATGAGTGATGCGCAGCCAGCATGCCCAACACCGGAAGCTGGGTTGTAGCTCTCACACACTGATATCTTGTTTGTGCAGATCCGATAAGTAATAAAATAGTTCTACCGTGAGTTCAGTGCTAAGTGCGTTAGCATTTTTTCGCTTAGTGCTAATCCAGAGGCTTGGTATTACCCTTGTGTTTTGTTTAACAAAAAATTGTTCATATCGTCAGTTAGCTGAGTTTCTCCCCGATAAGTGGGTATGACACATTAATAGGTTGTTAAATGTTAAGAATCCCTGAGACACAGTTTTGTGAGAGACACAGTTTCGCCTGCGGGGGCTGCCGGGCTTAACAGGTTAAGGAGAAACAGTAGGCCACAGTTAAAGAGATGGACGCAGGCAGAGAGAGGAGTGATGAGGCAGAGACCACAGCCAGTCAGCTGCTTCTGTTCAGCATTAAACACACTGTTAGTGGTTTGGCTCGGCCACAAGACCAGGGCGCGCGCGCATGTGTGTGTGTGTGTGTTTGAGACCACAAGAACGTGGCCCTGTGGAGAGCAGTTAAGGGAGCTGTAAATCTGGAGGAGGAAGGAGCAGGCAGCAGGCCAACACACACAAACACACGCCTACTGGGAGGAACCATATAGCACCCAACGAGAATTCAGACACACACGCCGAAGGAGCTGCTTACCACTCTCTTAGTGTTGGGTGTGCGTGCTGCGATGAGTTCGTAGTCGTCTATCTTGGACTGGTCGATGTCGGCCTTCAGCTCCCAGGTGGAGTCTTCGTAAGGCAGGCTGCACCATTTAACCAGATATAAGGTCACCGTCTACACCACAGAAAAACACAGACACAGAGAAACAGGAGTCAGGTCTGGGGAGTGCGTGTGGAGAGAGGCAGAAGCTCAAACCCATGAAATATGACAGGAAGAGATCAAAGCACCTCTTCATTTTCATCTGGGCTCTCTGAAACGTCCAGGACACGGTCCACCTCCACGTAGTCTGGGTTAAAAGGCTCGTCGTCCATCTGGAAAGAAAAGAGACTGAAGTTTTACCAATAGCAGGGAGGAGGTTTAACGATAGGTCTGCTGACGGCGTGTACTGGCTAAATCTTTTCATGGTCTTTTATCTGGAGCTGTATACATGGGGTTTTTCTCTTTGGCTTTTCCCCCTTCAAAAGATGTTGATTTCTGAGCCTCGTAATGTCAGTGTTCATTATTGTAAAACACATGTCTGTATGAAGATAAATTGCTTGGGACTTCACTCTAAAATGCATTTTATTTCTAACATTATTTTCTATTTGTCATATATCTCTGTTTATTACATCTTGACTGTATAAACCAATGTTTAGACTGATGAAAATACTGTTTTGGGACCATTTAGCACTCAGGGTTGAATTAGTTTTTAGGGTATTTGGTTAGTGTTAGGTGTTTTTAGCTTGTAAAATGTTTCAGTATAGTACATGAGCTCGCCAATTCTAGATGTGTTAATATCTATGAAATACTTATAACACTTGTTCAGTGTGTGTGCCCCTATACTACAGCTTTTGATCCCTATTTCACATATCTCTGTTATGTCTTATGAATTAAGGCTGTTATGAATCAACTTTAGTATGATAAAACAGGGCTAGTATTTTAAATGTAGAACCATAATAGTCTTTAATAGGCACATTCACACCGGAGTACTTTTCCCACAAAGGTTCATGAGAACTTAGTTCATGAGAACTCTTTAGTTCTCATGAACTTCTTCTTCTTCTGCTGCTGCTTTGGGTTTACTGGCCGGAGGTCCCCGGAGATGGGGACTGGCTTCAGTAGAAGCTGCTGGGACTCCCAGCAGCTTCTACTGAAGCCTTCAGAGTAATTCGCCAGAATGCCGACACCTCCTCATCTCCACCGCTCCCATGTTTTCTTTTGTGTTGCCATAAGTTAGTCTCTCTGCGTTTCTGCGCTGGGCTAATGCTAATCATGCTAATGCGAGGATAATAAAATGTCTTCACAAAACTTTTTGGGAGTTTTACGGGGCGTGGTTGGCAATCCGCCCAGCCAATCAGACATAGGAACCTTTTTCTCCCACGAAAGTACCTGCTCTCTAGCAGGGAGGGAAAGGGGGGTAAAAAAAGGTTCTGATGAACTAATTTTAGTTCCGTCTCTTTTTGGTGTGAACGCGACATTTCGGAACTATATCGGAACTAAAGTGGGAAAAGTACTGCGGTGTGAACGCACCTATTGACTTCATTAGGTGTGGAGCTGGGCTGACCGTAGGGGAGTCTTACCTCTGTTATGAAGCTGTTGAGGAGCAGCTGCTTGGCCCTGAACCTCTTGACCTTTTGGTGTATCCTCTTGTCCTTCTCCAGCTCCTCCAGGTCTGCCCAGCGGCAGTGGAGGTATGAACTGACACACACACACACACACACACACACACACACACACACACACACACACACACACACACACACACACACACAC